CTCAGAGGGGAGGGTTAGCAGTGAAAATTAGCACCAAAAGGGGAGGGTCATACCTCTGTTATTCAATGAGAGGGTCACACACCTTTTCCAGAATTTTTTAATGAGGATTTTTGTAACATTTCTTTCCATTTTCCTTACAGAATAATTTTTTATTTTCACCTACTTTGATTTCATTTGGTGTTTTATTAAAGGTTCTAGGTTACACTACTACATGTACATTATGCCATGGCACATAGTTTTCTCGGAGGACTTGTACTTGTGTCCTTTTCCGTCCGTATCGAGACTTCAGCAAATATACCAGACTGATTGTTCGCATTCTCTTGTTTCAGCTCGCACACATTCAATATCGAGATATATCAGGAGCTCAGGATATATTTATATTCAAACATTTTACATTCACAAGCGAAATGTTCTGAGGTTTCTATGGCATGGAACATACCATGTAGTAGTGAGGGGAGGGTCACACTTTTGTCAGTCACTAAAGGTGGGGGGTCAGGAGTTTTTTTCGTTAAAACGCAAGGGAGGACCAACACTTTTTTCGGAAGATAATATCAAAATTCCACAGCCCCCCCCAAGAAAAAACGTACTTTTCCCAACGCTGTGTGGCGCAACAATAGGCCTTTTCACGGCCATAATCGGTCTCAAACACAAGCACTTAAACTGAGAGAAACACATGTACCGTTGGAGAGCGTTTGAGAGCGTTTGGTCAGAGCTGTTGAGGAAGGATCAAAGCGGCCATCCAAATCTTTGAAAGGCTTCAAACTACGACGTACATCAAATTTGACCTTCTCGAAAACCGATCTCAAACTACATACTGAAAAACAGCGATTGCGTTTGTCCTTGAGAACCGTATGATACGCGACAAATACGCACAAAAAATACTTTTACACATTTAGAATAAATCAAATTACATTTACCTATGGTGAAAGGAAAAAGGAACGGCCTAACTTTTACAGAATGTTCAGTCAAAATCTGCCGATTTCTTCTGTTTTCACCGCCTTATTGAAAATGAAGCTACCACAATGCAACGCAATCGGAGTGCGCGCACGGCTCTTTATCAATCCTACAGTACAGGAAATGAATTAATCATTATGATGCTAAATATTGGAATGTTATTAAAATGGTACACCTTGTAAGTCATTTAAAGCCATTTCAGAAGATATTCGGCGACAGGTGACAGATTGAATTTACGTCACTTAGTTTGTTCCACATTCAGCAAGGCGAAAAAGATGCGAAAACACAGTCCCAATAAGGAAAAACGAGTAAGGTACACAGTCCTTCCCATTCTAGAATTGTCGTTCTGGGCAGTCCGAGTTTTCCGTGACAGTCTACAAGCGAGCATTCATACAAAAGAAGAACAAGGCAGGCAACGTTGAATGGCACTGTTCACCACATGCTAGAATTTTCACACTGGCAGTTGATTCCTTGAACTGTGTCTCCGCTATGAAAGAGTTACTATAGTTATATTAAACGTAATCCTTGTAGTTTTTATTATAAAGGTGGTGATGAAGGATTTGATCGCACTTTTGCGTAAAAAGACAACCCCTCTTTTCCACTGGATAATCGATTACGCACTTCAACTGACAGAAATCGGCAAACAAAAGAGGACTGAAATAAATACTCCGGCACCCCGTAATCGAGAGATTATGACGGGAAACATAAAGCGACCGCGCCTCGAGCAACTCTTGCGCTTACTCTCCAAACTTCATACGTGCATCCATAACTCGATATACGCGCGCTACGTATGGACCAATTTTTTAGTAGAGTCAGCCCAGATAATAGCGAGGGTACAAAGTTGTCGAGATGGTGGACGAAGGATGAGTATTCGCCGAAATGCTGAAGAATTGCAAGATATGCTGAATGAGTTAAACAGTTGGTAGGATGTAATCCTGGACTTTTTAACAGCGTCGCCAATGCTGTCAATGTACGCATTGACAACTTACACTGGATCTTGGACATTTCCTCCCGCTGATCTGAAGTCCTGTTTTTCTCTGCTCCTATCAAGCGCAAACATGGCTATTAGCCTGTAAGAACTAGACTAGAATACCGAGCAAAAAAAATTCAAGTTATCGCTGCCTCATTAAGATGGGAGAATTACACAATTGAATTACGTGAATTTCAGTATGTGCTGTTATAGATTACCTGTAGTTCCTCCTTTGGGGCGAAGTCCTTCGCGCGGGTCAGAAAAGAAAATTAGAGCTGAAAAAAACAAAACAAAAAGAAAGAAAGAAAGAAAGAAAAGATGTCAGCGCGCCACCGGAAGCTCTCAGGGTGAGGCACTAACATTTATTTTTTCTTCTCTGATTTTTTTCCTGCTGTTATCGTCGGCTACGCCAAATGAAATTCTGTAGTTTTGTCCTAAAATGTTCACACAGGTTTGAATAGCTTAAGCTCTCGAAACTCAAACAAAAGAACACAAACACACAGAACACATTTTTTTTTTAAAGAGTTGCTTATTAAAACGTTGACCAAACGCTAATACAATATTTGATACGTTTTGTTCACTTCTTATGTCCCGAGACACAAACATTTGCAAGATTTTAGCTAGGTGAGATGTTTAGAGTATCAAATGGTGTGCTTTAGAAGCTCTTTCCTACTATATATATTTTTAAAAATGGTTTAAATCTAAGATTCATAGAGCTATTAATGTAAAACGGTCGGAGTTTGTTTAACAGACCAATTTGCATAATTCTCCTGTCACGCCAGCAAAATCACAAAAAGTTTGAAATCACTACGGCGACGGAAATTAATAAGTGCAAGATGGTGTGATATTTCTATGCTTTTAAACATCTTATTTGAAGAACTCAACCGGAGTTTTTAATGGTCTGGACTGGACTTGAGAAATATCACTCAAGAAAGAAAGAGTACTTTTAACCAATTTCAGAAAGCTGTTTAACGGGTAAAATAAATTATGGCGAACCTCTGAGTAAAAACATGTCAAATTTGAAATGCTTTCCAAACTCACTAGATATCACATAATTTAGGAATGCAAACGACTTCTTGCTGCATGCAGTGTGTTATGAGGAGCGAACATGTCAACTCACAGGCTGCCCAAGCTCACGTCTCGAGAAAAAGCAAATCATCAATTCATGAAAGCGTCACGCATTGTGTGACTCGGTGCTAAGTTACGAGAGCTGAACCGTTGAGAATTTGAACACGTTGAAAGGTCGGGGTTGGATGCCGAATAATGGACCTCGATCACTCATTATTCTTGGTTTTTTTTCCGGATTATTCATTATTCTTTTCTAAATTTTGTTTGGTTTTCATTCTTCCCTATTCCTTGAACGTAAGCAAGATTTTTCTTGTTAGACTAGATTTCAGGTTTAATTCATGATTGTAGTGTTTCTCGATCATAATCGATCTATAAGGGAACTACTTCGCAACGTTTGTAATTGTTAACTTGATCTGGACGTAGTAGTTTCTCAATGGCGATGCGCGCCACTTTATGATCATGATGCGAGGAAATGTCTTACTGAAATTCTCCGATTATTTCGTCGAAATAAGCATACAGCATAGAAATCCGTATCTCGATTCATCCTCCCGGTGGTTTCTTGGAAAAACTGGATCAAGGACCACCGGATTACCGGATCAAGGATCTAGGATCAAGGATCAAGGATCAAGGATCAGTTCAAAATGAATCAAATAAATTAAATAAATTAATAGGCATGATTGATTGCTCATCTACGTGACTCAGTCAAGATCTCCCGTATGCTAAAGCGAAAATAAGAGAAAATACTAAAGACTTAAAAAGCCATACCACTTTGTGGAAGTGTCAATTTTCGCCTATCGACTATTAGGACTGCTATTGAAGACTGACAGGTACGGAGCGGGTTGGCTTGTGCATATTCTATATTCACATGAAATTTCTAAATTATCCTGAGTGTCGGTATGAGATTGCCTCTTTGACTTCCGGTGCAAATTCAACACACGAAGCTGTTTTTGGCGACTGCCGGAGTGAACAGCAAATTTTCAGCTGCTTTATCTTCATCTCTTCAAATTTTTACTGACCTCATATCCTTAAAGGAAGAGTAGATGGAATGCATCTGCAGAGTCACTTGCTTATAAGAAGACGTTTTAGTCGTTTTTTCCGACGGGATTTCACAAGACATGATTCGGAAAGTGATAAAATTGTATCGCCCCACTGAGTTGTTGTTGTGAATCCCCTGGAGTATACATGGAGGCAACAAGTCGAAAATCTCAAGAACACACACTGGACAATTCTTAGGTGATTTTTTCTTTTAAAGAAAGTACCTGTCGACTGACTAGGAAGAACTGTTTTTTTTTTTTTTGTTACCACGAAGCACAGCAGGCACAAAATTTAGTCCTACACTTTTGATCACTCCCGACAAAATAAAGTTGACATTTGCCGATTCTCTGTTTCTCGGTAGTATTAACAGGGGAACC